GCCACAGGTGGCGCTGTTCGCGCTTCGCGCGGATATCTGCTGCGGAACGTCTAGACAAGTTATTGTGATTCATGACAATATTACTAATCTGTTAGTATTAATGATTCAAAAAAACATCGGGATGGAAAGCAGTATTTGCGTGACCCAGTAATCTAATCGGCGAGTGAATCGCACCAATAGTCGATACGAGCGAGGCACTAGCCACTACTAGTACTACTAGTACTAGCGTAACTGTCTGTGTGACATTGGCCGGGTAAACACAAACACGATTAGAACTTGGAGAAGCAATTCGTATTCAATAACAAACTCATAAATGACAAGGTTAATCAATAGGTACTGCCTAATCGTGAAATACATTATGCTTCTTTGACAATGTTTACTTCTATCGCACAGCCGAAGGACAGATAACATACCTGAAATGTTTCAGATTGAACCTATCACTAAAGTCGAAACGGGCAGATTCTCTCAGCAATGGCGGCTTGCGTTGAAAACGAGGCTATGCATCAGTTCATTTATCAGTTAGTTACGTCACACTGGACAACCGGGCTCCAGTCATATGGGGGTACATAACTACACGACCGGTAAGATAAAGATAAGATAAATTTATTTTATCACTTCCAATATGATAAGATACAAGAATTTTTTTACAAAATATACATGACGTGCAGTGAAGGGATGGCGAAAAGACCATACGGTCATCTGGTCAGCCAACCCTGGTAGCTGCTAATGTACGGGATTTAGACACCGTTGTTCTTTATATTTTGTTAAAACTATACAATTAAATTAGTGAAAACCGAACTCACTAGCTGTGTATGATAAAAATAATTTATTCAAATGTCTTATTTCAAAAAGCTTATTTCACTGTTATCCCAAATTTCCACATATTCTGTAATCTGTATCTATGGTTGAAAATACTTTGTTGAAATAATACATATTTGGTTACTCTACCAATAAGTACATAATGTAAATAATGTAATAAACATACATCGTTAAAAAGAAACTCACACAATGTGTAAGAGTGTAACTTAAAACACTATGACTTAACTACACATCTGCTACGGAAATAGGTCTGCAGACCGTCAATCTATATACAAAAATATATAATAAAAAAGAGCATTGAGTACACAAACTAGATTATAATTTCTATATACATGGAGCATAATCTGGCAAACATTACTTACAAAAGTTATAATTTACAGGTAATTTAATCGCGCACGAATCGGACGGAAATTGAACAAAACTCTCACTTCACTCTGACATCACACTCTGCAAAGCATCATCTCACCATGCGGATACGTGACGCGTTACTACACCACAAATTTACATTTTTCGCCACGTGGCGGCACCGCATGGCACGATGCAACAGTGACGCAAAATGCACTACAGAATTCGCCGCTGTCGTCGTCGCCGACGTTACGCGGAGCCGCTCCTGAAGGCGTTCGTCTGCTGTGCGCTGTCCCGGCTCCGCCCGACGCTTGCCGTCGCGCCGCCGAGGTGCTTAGCGAGGACGTCCGTTCCCGGTCGTAGACTGACGACGAGCCAGCCGAGTATGACGAGCGAGGCGCGCGCCACGTTCAGAGAGCGCCACCTGTCCAGCGTTTGCGACGCCTCCTGTTGGGAAAACCAGGCGCAGAGGCTACAGTACATGTATTTGTATTTGAATTACATACATGCAACAAAATTAATAAGATTACGACAAGAATTCGAGGGTTGTTACACAATTGCTCGCGGTGCAGGCGTTCCTGGAAAGATACTGCTTGCAGCAGTTATGGTTTTCGTTGCTCACAGAAATTCAAAATTTGTAAAATTCGTAAAATTTGAAAGCAATAAAAAGCTTAAATGTATAAAAATATTAATTCTAATTAAATTAGCGTGTGTGTTGTGTAAATTCGAAAGCAATAAATAGCTTCATGATCGTGATCATTACACATTCTGACAACGACTAACTAATCTCGTGAACGCATGTATAGGCCACATATTTATAGTCACATTCCATACATCTATTCATCATGATATCCAGATGAGACGGGATACCAGAGAAGTGTTGCCGAAAGGAGGTGTTGATCTTAACCGCTGAGTGCGGATCTTGCGCGCAGTTCCGCGGCAAGGCGCACACGACCGCGGGAACGTCCTACGAAAGTATGCAGCGCTGGCAGCTATGAATCCGTGCGCCGAATGCATAGGTCGGTGCATGCGAAGCTGCCAGCGAACATAGCTGCCATGCATAGCTGCATAGCTGCCATAGCTGCATAGCTGCATAGCTGCATAGCTGCATAGCTGCATAGCTGCATAGCTGCATAGCTGCCGTGCGGTGCATAGCTGCCAGCGAACAGTCCGGAATTTTAGCGGGGGACACAGAGGGCAGACATTCGGGACGTGGGAGGAACTCGCGACTTAGATGGGGGGTCGTATAGATGGGGGGCAAGAGCGAAGCTTTTGATTTCGCCGTGGTTCAATTTCCGTGTGGTCTTAGGCGTTTTCACTATAAGTTCCAAACATAAAAAGTTCCAAACATAATAAATCCAATAAAAATCGGACCATTATTTAATGGAAAATTTGATAAAATAGTGATACGAAATAGTATGCGGATTGTGCGCCCAATTACCTCTTTCAAATCATATGCTGTTTAAGAATCGCCATTCGCTGCATTTCCCCGGAGCTCCGCCCACTTTAAAAATAGTGCTATAGCATTGTGGCTATCCTGAGTGTACGAACGAGTTAGTATTTTGATTTTTAATTTTTGATGACAGTAGTAAGGCGAAAGTGCAGCATTTGAACACAGCTTACTTCATTAGCATTATATATAGTATCTAATCATTTTCTGAGCGCTTCTTTTTGTATATATAAACAATTAATACATTATCTGGCATCTCTATCATATATGTGACCTTGCCTTATATCATATGCACCCC